TGTTCATAATTAAGATAATACATTAAAATAATAAGGTAAGACACATCAGTTTGCCATATCAAGCAGCAAAACGAGTTATTTTGTACAGTTAAAAATAGCAGGAAGCGAATGACACCGGAAGCCAGACATGGCCGCGCCCGCTCTTACGGGAAAAATAAGGTGGATAAAAAAACACTGATTTATTCAGGAAAAAACTCCCATTATGGTATGTTTACTCAGAGAAGTGAACCTTTGGAACTGTTTTCATTGGTGAAGAGCAAAACTTGACGAACTTAAATGCCAATAATTGCTCTAAATTGTAAGTTAGCCTACTCAATACTAACTTCCTGTTTTTCAAGTTGTTTCTCAGAAAAGCAGTACTCTTGCTCGAGTGATATTGCTTAAATTAAGCGGCAACTAAGAGGTGTGCCACACTACTGAAGCATATTAGCTTACAGTACATAAAGGAATTCATAAAGGACCAGGTTTGTTGACATAACATTGAGAGGCCCTGCATTTTGTTCTGCATTTCTATACAATCATCAAACCGTTGAAGGGCTTTGAACGTGTCACCTTATTCATGCGAGTGAATGAGGGTTGTGTTAAAAGGTCCTGTGCGTGTCTGTCATATATGATGCATCTGGGTGTTAAACTGGAACTGGAGTCTATGTTGTGTCTTACTGACAGTGTATGCTGGCTCTTTGGCATTTTTGTGTTTTTCTCTTTCCTTAGATAGATACAGGGAGTATCAGTGGATGGGTCTCAATGACAAGACCATTGAGGGAGATTTCCGCTGGTCAGATGGGAACCCTCTGGTGAGTCTACTGATCTGGCTTTCTGTAAAAAACATGACAAAACATTGTGTTTCTTCAAGGGTTTTCCAAACTAGAACTACATGGGGTTCTTGACTTGATGAAAAACTTGATTATTACAAACTTTTGACCTGTCTCTCTGTATCAGTTGTACGAGAACTGGTATCGTGGACAACCAGACAGCTACTTCCTGTCAGGAGAGGATTGTGTTGTCATGGTGTGGTATGATGATGGGCGTTGGAGTGATATCCCTTGTAACTACCAGCTGTCCTACACGTGCAAGAAGGGCATTGGTGAGTACATCACATTCTGTGGTGGCGCCAGGGCCCAGGAAGAGCAAAAGTTCGTCATGGTTTGCTTTTCTTTAGCAGCATTCTGTGGCCAGCCCCCTCTCGTACTGCACGCTAAAATGTTTGGACGTCGTCAACTAAAGTACAGGGCCAATTCACAGGTGCGCTACTACTGTGAGCCAAGCTTCATCCAGAGACAAAACCCTATCATCACATGTCAGAGCAATGGACAGTGGGAGGAACCTATGATCACTTGTTCACCAGGTGAAAAATAGTTTTTTGTTGATTATATTATATTATTATGCCATTGAATCCAAATAGCTTACAGTGTTCATTTCATGTATTTTGCTCACAGTGGGATCAGCATACTCAAATGGAGAACTGGTAAAATGGCCCACAGGTCAGAACAAGGAAATAATCATAGAAGAGACAACAACAAAAACAACAACACCTGAATAT